TCTTAATTTCTTGTTATAAACAGTTCCCTGAGGAAGAAAGCATTTCTGTCTGCATTTGTTTTGTGCGGGGTGGGGTTTGTGCCTAATCATTATGCAATTTTACAGCATACTACCCTCTTAATTAATTCAGTAGTAGTCACATTATATCCCCCAGAGCCTTATTGTAGCAGATAATGTAACCAACAGATTGTGTTTTTAGGTGCACAAAACAGAGGGCTGTCTGCTGTTCAAAGGTGTCCCATTTTCTACTGAATGATTTTGTTCACATCTCAGCCTTGTCTTCCTTAATGTGCTAGACTTGATGGCCCAAAATTTCTAAAGTGTTTGTGCACATGTGAAGGCCAGATAAATCTTCAGAATGTTATTTCACATATTACAGAGTCATAAAACTATTTACAACTCACTTGCATGACAGAAAAAATACTAGAAATACTGGAAAAATAATAGGAACCTGAAGTTGTCTTCTACTGTCTCCTTTTAGTTTTGTGTTTTTTCTATAGACTAATATACAAGTGTAAAAGAGCCACTGCAGCTTAAACTAAAACTCAGCATTACACCTCTTATCCTCTTTTTCCCCCTAATGCTTCATTCACCCTATGACTTACTAGCTGGACTACTTTATTCTCTCACAGCTGGTCTACATCCCCAAATGGGAAATCAGAGGTATTATCAACATATGGCTGAGGAGGAAAAGAGGGCTGCATTGGTCCTTGTGTGAATAATGTAATAAGGCTTGGAGGAAGGGAGATCTTAATTTGGGTTTCTAATTACCTTTGCCTTTTCCCTAAAATTTCAGAGCTTCTTATTGTGAGGTGATTTGACTGCCTTTTTGTAAGAGGTTCACCCACTTATTAAAAAGCATAATGTAAGAGACAGTGCTTCTCCTACATTGCTATGGAACAATTTCTGCTCAGGGTTTCACCTGTACAACTGCATTTGGTATCAGTGATATTACATGGGTACAATGGAGGGAAGATTTGTTCCTGTATCCACATGGGCCTTTCCATGACTACTTAGGTCAAGCCAGTATTTGAAGACTTACTACTGAGCAACATTAGGGAACACAAAATTTATACATCTGTCAGGTACAGGGTCAAAGACAACCAGTGTGCAGTAGTCTCAAATATTAAAATTAATTTTGCATTTGTTATAGTAGTTCTGTGAACTGCACAACAGACATAGGAGCATTTCTTTTACCCCCCAAAGAGGGTAAACAACTTAAAGGGAAGTCTTAAAGGGAAGTTGCTGGGCTTTTACAATAAATGTAGACTTTTCTTAAGTTGCTCCATTTTTAGATATTCTTTTTTAGTTTAGGTGCAAGCCTAGAGGAGGTCAGTGTTCTGATTTAGCTGAGTTTTCTGTTATGGTTTATTATAGAACTAAAAGAAAAATATTGCATTACAAAGAAAAATAAGCCCTTCCAGGTACCGTTTGATGCACTGAGCTGAGGTGATGGTGTAAGTTACAGATGGCAGAGTGAGGTTAAATGGCCCAGTGCATTTATCAGAAAGCTCATAGTTCTCAGTACAGAAATGGTGACACATTGCCAATAAGTAGTGTTAATGAAGAGCAGTTAACTAAGCAGCAGAAACTAAAGAATTGGTTCTTGCCAATTCCTGCTTCTGTTTTGTGATAGAGGGTTCCTCTCCCCATTTTTCCTTCTATCACAGCATTATCTTCTGCTGCTCTACCAGTCTCCTATTAGGTGGCAGGCATTTCAGATGTTTGCCTCCTGCCAAGAATAATCTTCGGCCACTTCAAGACAATCTTAAATCATCCCCAGTTAAGCAGCTAGCAAGGAGTATTGCAGCTGGCATTCTCTGTGAAAAGCAAGACCATCATAAATTGACCTTCACCTGGGACTGTTAAATAGGAGCTCTGGGGTATCTTATAAAACAAAATAAAACAGATCCTGCACATGGAAACAGAGAAGAAGCCCAGTAGATCTAGCAGGGTAAAAGAGTACTGCTGGTTTGGCATGTTGTGGTCTATCCTGGCGTATGAAGTATCATCTGAATAACAACTCAGTTTAAAGTCTAGTTTTTTCCTGTTGAATGTTTCTAAAGCAGTAAAAATAAATTAAAATTATGCATGCAAGGCTATTTAACGGAGAAGGAAGAAACAGGAACTGTTGTGTATGTATTTGTATTTGTTACATACTATATGTTTGACTACCTTTACTTGTATAAATGAAAATAAATTTCACAGGCCTTTAGCTGTCCAGGACAAAGCTCTATGTGGTTATATTACACATCAGCTAACATAACCAAGCAATGGGGTAGAACATATTCCCTCACTGAGATGTAGTTGAGAGTGTTTTTGTTTTAATTAGTGTTATTTTGGTAAGTAATCTTAATAATAAAGAATAGTTAGTCCATATTAGCTTATTTTTGTGACTCACTGCTACAAGTAGGAGGAGGAGTGGTGAAGCAACATGTTTCTTGCTGCCTGCCACACCTAGAAATAATCTAGGGTGGAGACACCTGTTGTCTTCTTTGCTATCATCATTCATCCTTTCCAAGTTTCTCACTTCCTTTAAGGGATCTATTTTGTAGCTGTGTTGGTCTGAGAAAAGACAGCTACTCAAAGCTCTTGGTTCAGAGGTGATAGACCAACTAAATAGTAGCAAAATGTTTTATTTTTTTGCAGGCTTTTGGGTGCACACACCCTTAATCAGGCTGAGGAGAAGTCAAGGACTGTAGAAGTCCTCCTGGCAGAAAATAAACTTCATATTACACAGGGGAGGTACAAGCTGGAAGTGTATTCCCCTGGGAATCTGAAAGTCCTTTTGTGAGAGTGTTGCTCTGTGATGTAGAGATTAAGTTGCCTTCGTCCCTGGAGGTGTCCGATGTCCGAGGCAGACAAGGAGATGAAAAAATCTTTCTTTCTTGTTTATAATAAATAAACTTCATTGCTAAATAATAAACTTCAATGCAAAACTTCCTTTAAGTTATTTGATGCTGGAAATATCCCAACATCTGTCTTCCTGAACATGGGTTTGAACTGGAGAAAAAAAAGAACAAGTAGTAGCACAAAATAAACTCTACTAGCATGTAGATGTTCAAAATGTGTTCAATGCCATTTACAGAGGCCGGGTTCGTTTTTCATAGAGGGAGAGAGTGGTGGCTTTTCCCAAATGCACCTCTTCATGTTACTGAAATGTCCTGTCATTCAAGTTGAGCAAGCTTTCTTAATATTATCCTTCTTCTATCTCATATGCATCAGTGAACGATGAAATTAACATTAGCAATAATATAAAAAATATCATTTATGAAATACTGGATCTAGAAATGGATTGTGGGGGTTGTGGTTCCCCTCACTTTGGCTGGGCCCAGCACATGCAGTGAGCTCCCCTCCTGCCTACTCACCTCTGAATTTAGCAACAGGGGAAAGGAAGGGACAAGTGGAGGGGGCAGTGCTTACCCTCTTGGCCCTTGAGGTACAGGAAATTAGGGGCTCTAGCTAGATCCCATTCTGAGTGCAGAACAGCCACAAGCACTGGGCTTCCCTACCTTGCAGTTGTGCCACTACATCCTCTATGGATATGCTCTTGTTTCTATGTGCATAACAGCTAATCAAAATGAAAGGGGTGGGGAGGGGGTATTATACTTATCAGAACCATTGTCTCAGTTTACAGAGAACCTAAAAGAGACATTGCGACATTGGCTACACTCTGGACACATTTTCCAAGGGTTTTTCCCCCCACCTTTTTTGCATAGAACAGTAGCTGGAGATTTACTTTTTAAAAAGAATGAAAGCCAACGCTGGAAAAAAAGCAGCAACGCAAGAGAGAGGTATTGGTATACAGTACTGACTGTAACTGGTCTTCTCATTCCCTTTCCATTTGGACTTGAGCAGTCTCTGCTCAATAGATAGAAACAACCCATCGCTAGGGGTCTGCAAGGAGTTAGGTCAAAAATTATTAGACAGGAACCAAAGTAAGAACAAGGAGTCAAATGCCAAGCCTCAGGATCCAAAGGATTGCACAATATTAATTTCAAATCAGGTGCTGGCCCCTCCAGAGAGACCCAGGAGAGCTATCTGCCTTGCAACGGAAGAATCCTGATTCACCTATTATATATAAAGGGTGGGACATAAAACCCAATTGTTTATTACAACATAACGGTAAATCCTGGCTTAAACTAAATAGAATCCTGTGATTTTGTTCTCCTGTCAGTGACTCGGGCAAGAAATTTGTTTAAAAAGTTTTTAAAAATATAGTATTTAACACTGTTCCTTTAAGCTTCCTTTGTCTGCATTATAATATTCTGGGTGAAATGGACTGTCCTTATCTTAATCCTCTCTCTGGTCTATTCAAGGCGGATTTTGAACCTGTCTAAAGGCAATTTTGACATTCAGATAAGAGTTTAACAAAATCCTAAGAACTCTTCCCTGTGTACTCCAAAAATAATATTGCCTTTTTTCTTTCATTTCCCTCAAGCCATACTTGTGAAGTGCAAGACAGTGTTATTAAGCTAACAGGCAGGTGATGGCAGAGTTTTTCTCACTTTCTTTCTACCGGCCTACAAAAATAACAGACTTTCTAGATAACTGGGACAATGTTGCCAGTTCTGCCTTTTGTCTGAAAAGCAGCAAGGACTGGAAAATTCAAGAAAAGTGGGGAGATATATATGTGTGTGTGTGTATGTGTGCGCGTAATTAGGCGCTAGAAATTCTTCTGTTGTCTTTGCAGAAAACTGTTACTTTTACTTTTTCCCTTGCACAGCTGGAGAGGACTTCTATAAGATTAAGAAGCCAATTTAACTTTCAAAATTCAGTGGCTCAGTTCGGAACAACTCCTTTACTCTCTTGCTTTTTCCCATTCAAATACGAAGACGGCCTCAGTTCTAGAGAGATTTTCACCACCAATTTATCTGTCCATGTTTAACTCAAGAGCAGTTTGCTTCCTCCATTTCAGCAG